GCCACAAAGAACCCAAGAAGGGCTCCCACAGGACAAACAGAACATCCCACAGCAATATATAATTAAATTAATTACAAAATTTAAAAAAATAAAGTGCTTCTCTCACTAAAGTGCTAAAAAAACTTTTTGCAAGCTCTCCTCACTCTGATTTCTGCTCCCAGCATTTAACAGGATCCTCTTCATTCTGATTTGTTCAATGGAAAATCTTTTACAACTCCCAAACATATTCTGTTACAATAGTTTATTTTTAACTGCCCCCCATTTTAAATGGGCAGTTCACTTCCACTCAAACAAGCACACCTTCCAAATAAGAATAGCAAGACAGAGAAGGAAATATTATTAGATGGACTCAATATATACTACATGAGTTCTAATAAGACACCAAAATCATTTATGTGCTTCTATTAAAATACACCAATGGGCACAGGTGGCATTTATTTGTTGTTAGATTAGCCAGATAAGTATTAGAATTCTGAGATTGGAACAGGCAAACACAACTCTATATTTACGATCAAACATGATGACTTCTAACTTTCCTCTCCATCTTCTTTGCTTTTAGGATCTGAAAGTGGCTGATAAATAAAGAATAGCTAGCTGGTAAGTCTTTCCAAATGGTAAAAGGACAGGATCGATGCACAATATTTGGTAACAGTCATGAAGAGAAGTGTTAATTTTTTTCAACCAAGTGAAGTGTTTCTCTGCTCTAAAGCATCATTTTCAGCATTTTTCATAAGTTCAGCAACTGATTCCTCTGTTTCCAGAAAGAGATGTCCACCAGAAAGAGATGTGCAGCCTAGCTCATATAAATGCTAGCTCATCACTCCCACCAAAAAAACATGCAATCGAACAAACAAATAAACAAAGTCCCACTTATGAAGGAAGTGATTTTATAAGACATGCCTTGAGACAGCACCCATCTCCATGGTGCATCCCAACCCATCTGTCTCTATGTAGAAAAAACTGACATGCAGAGAGGCTAAACTGCCAAAGACATAACCAAGAATTGTTGCTAGAGTTTTCCGCCTTGCCCACAGTCAGGACAAATCTTTGTCACCTGCCAGTCCCACAGCCGCTCAGACCCAAGCAAGTAAACACAGAGACTTATATTGCTTACAAACTGTATGGCCGTGGCAGGCTTCTTGCTAACTTTTCTTATATCTTAAAGTAACCCATTTCTAGAAATCTATACCTTGCCACGTGGCTGGTGGCCCACCAGCATCTTCACATGCTGCTGGTCATGGCGGCATCTGGCAGTCAGTCCTTCTGCCTTCCTGTCCTTTTATTTCTCCTCTCTGTTAGTCCCGCCTATCTTTCCTGCCTAGCCACAGCCAATCAGGTTTTATTTATTGATCAATCAGAACAACTTGACATACAGACCATCCCCCAGCACAGCCAAGTGCAGACCATCTCAGACACCTGCACTCAGGCCCATGGTCCTAATCATCCTCTATGCAGACCTGCTGGGTAACGCCACAAAGAACCCAAGAAGGGCTCCCACAGGACATACAGAACATCCCACAGCAAAGAATCTCCTGGGTATGTCTGCTGTCCTGCCCTTGTTTTTCACTCTGTTCCTCAGACCTGCATTTTAAAACTGTACCTGTGGTTATTTCAGACCGTATTCTCCTTGGATAGCCTTTGATGTAGCTTAAAAGGGCCTGTTAAAAGTCCTAGGAGGAGAAGGAAAAAATCGAAGTGACTTTTTACATCTGATAAAGTCTAGCTACTTTGGACGGAGGAAATTTGTCAAAGATCTGTTTACAGAAACCTTAATGAAGAGGCACAGAAGTTAGAGGGAAACCGAGAAGTCCTCACTGTAGATGTAACCAACTGTCTTATTAAATAAGAAACACAGAAACAATGTAAAAGAGAAAGCCAAGAGGTCAGAGCTCAGAGCTAAAATCTCACCCTTCCTCCT